AAAGCAAAGAGTTTTCATGAACTAGTACTGGTGGAATAAGAAGCCAGAGAGATTTGAAGTTTTAGGAGGACTTGGGGAGCAGCTACCGGTTTGAAATATAGGGGGGTCACATAGGAAGGACTGCCAGGAGACTCCAAAAGCAGGGAGAGGGTTCTGGATGGCAGCTTGCAAAAAAAAACAGGGTCCTCAAGTTTATAGCCCCAAGAAAGTAGATTTTTCCACCAACCTGAATGAGTTTGGAAGTGGATTCTTCCCCAGAGGCTTCAGATAAAAGGCCAGCCTAGCCGACTCCTTGATTTTGACTTTTTGGTACACTAAGCAGAGAACCAAGTCACCCCCGCTAGGCTGCAGACCTATAGAACCATCATAGAATAAATTAATATTGTTTTCAGTAGCACAGTTGTGGTAATTTTTGATATAGCAATATAAAAATGAGGCAGAGAGATTGCTACTATGCATATTCTACTAACAGTATACAAATATTTAGAGAGTTTATGTGAGTCAGTTATCTATTATCCCTCATATGCATGGTTCAGCCAATTTATATTGGGTGTAGCTGGGCAGCTGTGGTGATCACTGCCCTGTTTGCTCATGCACTTATGATGCACCTGGAAGTCATCTACATCCTATTATTTACTGTGCTTTTCTTATATTCATCATCTTTTACTTGGGTTTATTTCAATCTTTGTGTTCTCTTTGCCCTCTCCCTCTAACTAAACCCCAGATGTCTTTTCTGCATCACCCAATCTTCAGCAAAAAGTTAACACACAATTACTGTCTTTTATGTTTTATTATCCATCTCTCAGACCTAGTGGCTGTGAGTAAAATGCAGTTTTTTTTTATTTATTTCATTCTAATTAAAACACAGTTCTACTCCCAATTCATTATTAACATTGTTTACTTTACTGACTGCTATATTAACACATCGATCCCCCTGGAAGCAATGACAACTGTTGATGTACCTATTGTTAGGTAATTTATGAAATTTTAATTATTTTATTATTAACACATTAATACTCTGACTGGTTGGTATTTTCATTGTTAAACTGACGTTTATACTGACTTCCAAATAATACTTACCAATATCCTTACTGGCTGATGTGAAAACTGACAAATATGTAAGGTACAGAGGAGAGGATAGAGAGGACAGGAAGGTAACATAGGTAGCTCTGAGAGAAAGAAAAATTAGCCTGGAGAACAGCATCAAGAGAAGGAGAAGATGTAATATAGAGATTTCCTAATGTCATGAAGACCCCACCTTGCACATTGACTCTCAAAGTCAGTCTCTCCACACCTGCCTCTTCAAACAAAATATTTCTATTATAAGAAAAATATTACTTATTTCCCTAGGCTACCAAGAAAGTCTAGGTAGCAACCTAGAAATTTTTATTATTTATGAAAGCACCCATCATATTAAACCATTGCACATCTCTGAGAGTCAGAATTTTTTAGGGAGTTGAACTAGGTTTCAACGCGCTAATTGCTAGGGACGTTGGTCTTCTTTATACTTGGCAGAATCTATGGTTTTCGACAGCTTGTCTCAGTTCTCTATCTACCCTCTTGGAACATCTATGTGGAAAAAGAGTAGTCCATGACGAGCCGTCATCTTTGTTTTTCCCTTAATTACCTCCATTCCATTTCCCATGGTCACTAGAAC